GGAAGGAAGGTTGCCACCTTGTACGGGTTCGTCTGTAATGAGGGATCAAGAGCGAGGTTTGGAGTGATAGGACGGATTCTTTAACGAAATGGTACTTGATTGGCAAGGGGAGGGAAAGGGGCTAAGGACTCTTGGCTTCGAGTGATTATGCCTGTTTGGGCTTGGTTGTGGCGTGCGGTCGAACTGGTGATCCCTTTTCCTTGGCTTCGTTTGATTCTAAGATTTTCGTTTGATCTTCTCTTCCCGTGTTGGAGTCCCCTTCGTCTCTATGGCTTCCAGGGGATTTCTCGTGATGGTTTCCGTGCACGTTCCCCTCGGATGTCCAGGAGTCTGGACCCAGTCGGTTTAGTGGGTCAAACCCCTTGACTCTTAATCCTTGCCGAGGGTTCTTAAGGGTAAGGGGGATTTCGGGTCAGTCTTTCTTGTTCTATTGGGTTTCATCCTTTCCTTGGTGGATGAAATTCTTAGCAAGGCTTTATGTCCTCCTTGACGTTCGGCCTGTTGCACCTATTTGACGATGTTTTCTGTAGCGAGGGCCCCTGACACATTGAACGTATTTGTTTGCCCGCTCTTGTCAATGCATGGCGTTCTTCGGTGGCGTACGTACAGGCTATGGTTTCTCGTGAAGCCTTCACGGTTTTCGTGCAAGGGTGGGGTGATACGTATTCGTAACCTCCACCTACTTCGCCGATTCCTATCTAACAACTTATTTTAATGTTGAATCAATGAATGTCGGTTCTTCACGCCCCTGGGCAGGGTAAGGGCCTTATGCTGCTCTACGGTTTTTAACAGGGTTTCCAAACGGAGTGGGGATATGAACTTAGATTAAGGGCAATAACAATTTAGGGTTTCCGAGGGTTTGGGTTAAGCGCAACAAAGGGTGAGCAAGGTCATGACGGTTGCGAATTTGCTCTTAAGGTAATTAAGGATTCGGGCTGGGAGTTTTCAACAAATAGGGGTATAAAGACGCTGGGGTTTCAGGGCGGATGATATTTTAAATTGGGGTGGTGGGGTTGCAAGGTTTACCTTGCACCCAAGGATTCGACTAATGGTGTCGTTCCTTTGCTACTTTAATAGGTGTCCTAGTTCTCCTTCCTGTTTGTTGTAGCCGCAACCCGGGTTCGCTGAGATAAGGCAACTTGTCGGAAGGTGCATGTCATTTGTCTGACTCGGGGGTTATCGTGGTTACCTTGGGTTGGTGCGTATTGCAGTCCGTCCCTTTTAGCAGTCCTGACTGTAACGCCTCTTCTTAGTAGTCATCCAAATCTTCCTTTTCTTTGGTCAGGGTCCTTGTCAAGTCTTTTGACGGGAGTTAGGACGAGGCGATTTATCGGGTAAGTGTACGTTACCCAGTTGTGGAAGTAAACTTATCTATCCGCACCCTTACCTGGTGTGGTAAGCGTAGGGGGAGGTTCCTTTAAGTTAGAGAGGGATGAAGTGAGGGGAGGTTATGTGTAGGTTTCACAATCTCACTGCGCGTCCTAAGATTCCTGGATCCTATGTTCCTAAGTACCTAGAGTTCAAGCCTAGTGTCCTAAAGTCCGGTCTTAAGAGTCTTATCCTAGGGTCAAACTTAGGCTCTGATACCAACTGTAACACCCCTGATTTTCAAGACATTTAAAACTTAATAATAAAGGTAACATCTCATTAAATCCCAAAATGTAACATAAGTGTACGGGGTGCTATGCCACACCTGGGCTAGAGAACCCAGGTGCACAGGCTGTCTAACTACTATCCTCTGAATTATAAATGCATAATATGGCACGCAGGCCGAAAGGGAAACTATACTACTTCTACGTTCCAGTTCTAACGCGCTCCAGTGCTCTAATCCTCTGTGCCTGAAAGCCAAATATATATGTTCAGCGAGAGATGCTGGTAACCCACTCCAACGCGTTGAAATACAATACATATAGCAATATATATATAGATATACGAAAACCATTTTGAGCATGAAGATATATCCTACGAACTCTAGCTTTAAAACCGGGAATGACTCGACAGATAAGGCCAGACACAAGCAACAGTTATAACAGTCATAAGCAGTTCATAACAGATAAGGCAAATAAGGCAAGGTATAAGCAGTAATCATGACCCATCATAAACAATTCCCCAATATAAATCCCATAGTCACATTCCACAAGGCACTCATAATCACCACTCATCCATATCACAACACATAACACACTTTGTTGGCGCCACAGGACCAATCGCATGCCCATACATGAGGGTCAGCGCATATAGCTCTGACACGGCCCCGCAGCACCCTGCCCCGTATCGCAACACGGAGGGGTCGATCGCAACCGACCGATGAACCGCAGCTCATCATAGTGTTTGATCGCAACCAAACAGTGGACCGCAGCCCAAGAGAGTGTATTGTCTGACTGTAGCCAGGAATTCCCATCTGACTACAGCCAGCCTCTGAACCGCAGCTCAGGAAAGATGTCACCTGGTTGCAGCCAGGAATTCCCATCTGACTACAACCAGCTTCTGGACCGCAGCCCAGGATATCGTCATCCGACTACAGCCAGGAATTCCCATCTGACTATAGCCGGCTTCTGAACCGCAGCTCAGGATAACCAATCCGATCGCAACCGAATTGGGGCACACACACACATAACACATAGCAAGCACATGCAACCCACATTACACATTGGGAAGGGGGATAAAGCGTATAACAAAACCTATGCGTGATCCACCACGTACTAAGAATAGTCCTAAGGGGTTCATACTTCTTCCACCTAGGTCAACGGGATACCAATTCAACTAGCATGCAATACAATAGACTCATAAACCTACGAACGGTACCCGAAACATCAAACTAGACATAGGCACGACAAACGGGGTCCGTTGGGACACCACGGGGATCGGGGAACATCAAACCGGGAAGTCGGGGTCCCGAGTGGGACGAATTTCCAGTGGGTAGCCGGTGGGTGGTGGTCCACCCGCCGGCTGCCACTGTTCCGGGCAGCGGGTGCCTGGCGGGCAGCTGCCCGCCCGCCGGCTGCCCGCTGCCGGGCTGCCCGAGAACGCCACGGGTAGGTGGCGGGTCCCCTACCCCCAGCAACCCCCCACTGACTCTTTTCACCACTTTTCGTCCCGGGAACCGTTGTGGAACCCGAAACCATGCTTGGACACTTTTCAACGCAATTAATGACAACACGTAGACAATTAACGGATCAAATACGAGAACCGAACGGCACATAACCTATCATGCTTTTCTAAACATAATCAACACCCAAACATGCGAATTCCCACCCGATAATCCAAGAATAAGATCATACGATACAACCTAGGGTTCTAATCACTTTTATATCAACAAGAATACGATTCATCTTCTAATTGCAAGATTCGGTAAGAATAACACATAAACATCAAGGATGCCAATTAATCATCAAGAACATCATAATCACCAAGAACAACACATAATCATCAAAATCCCAATTAATCATCAAGAACATCATAATTATCAAGAAACTCCCAGCATCAAGATTATCAAGATTCCCCATGGAATCATCAAATCAACATCAATAATAATCACCATAATTTCACCATTCACAATAATATGGGGGGAAACCCTAAGGGAAATCATAGCTATGAAAATAGGTTTTGTTGAGACATGGGTTACCTCTTAGCCTTAATTAATTCCTTGGCTATGAAGGATCTTTCTTTAAGCTTTCTTGATTTCTTGATTTCTTCTAAGGGGATTCTTGGAGCTCTCCTAGGGTGGTGGGGCGTGTAGACGTGTGGGGGTTCTAAGTGCCTCTTAAGTCCCCTATTTATATATTTAGGAGTCCTGGTTAGGAACTAATATTATGGGCTTGCTAATTCTATTCCTCTTGGAACTAAGGATTGGGTTTAGGGATAAGGGTCCATGGCCCATAGTGGATCATATTAATTAATTAAAGGGAATCCTAATCGTAGTCTGAATAGTAAAAGGCCTACTTCCTTTATTCCTAATAGATAACTAGGTCTAGGATTCCTAATTAGAATCTGAATAGTAAAGGGTTTACTTTCTTTATTCCTAATAGGCTTAGGACTCTAATTTAGGCAAGGGTCCACAGTTCATGGTGGACCTTTATTAATTAATTAAAGGAAACCTAACCGAATTAAATCATATTTAATTATTATTAACAGGGTTAATTTAATAATTAATCTGGGATTGAAGGCCGTAACACGGGGTGTTACACGAACCCTCTACTTCTCAAGGTAGTTTTCAACCGGATTTGAAGTGGCTAAGAAATCATCCACAAGATCAAATCATTGGAGAAATTCATGATGGCGTGAGAACTAGATCCGCTTTACAAGAAACCCTATTTTCATGTTTTCTTTCTCAGGTTGAACCGAAGGACATAGATGAAGCTTTAAAAGATCCTAGTTGGATTGAAGCAATGCAAGAAGAGCTAAATCAGTTTGAACGCAACGATGTGTGGGAGCTTGTTTCAAGACCATCTAATCACAACGTGATTGGAACAAAATGGGTCTTTAGAAATAAAGCAAATGAAGATGGAATCGTTGTTACGAATAAAGCAAGGCTAGTCGCAAAGGGCTACTCACAAGAAGAAGGAATAGATTTTGATGAGACATTTGCCCCGGTTGCAAGATTGTAAGCAATAAGAACTTTTCTAGCCTTTGCAGCATACAAGAGTTTTACAGTCTATCAAATGGACGTAAAAAGTGCATTCTTAAATGGCCTACTCGAAGAAGAAGTATATGTTGAGCAACCCCCAGGTTTCGAGGTAAAAGGTAATGTTGATAAGGCCTATAAACTAAAGAAGGCATTATATGGGTTAAAACAAGCACCGAGAGTTTGGTATGACACCCTATCAATGTTCTTAATTAGTTGTGGGTTTACCAAAGGCCTTGTTGACAAAACCTTATTTAAAATTCAAGAAAATGATCATATATTATTAGTACAAATTTATGTTGATGATATCATTTTTGGAAGTACTAATAAATTGTTATGTGAGAAATTTTCTAAGCTCATGCAGAACAAGTTTGAAATGAGCATGATGGGAGAGCTAAACTACTTCCTTGGACTGCAAGTAAAACAACTGAAGGAAGGAATTCTCATAAATCAGGCCAAATACACCAAAGATTTTATTAAAAGATTCGGCCAAGAAGGAAAGAGCTCAGTGAAAATTCAAATGAGCACATCTGTCAAATTAGAAAAAGACGATGAAGGAAAAGATGTTGACGAGACGCAATATCGAGGAATGATTGGATCTTTATTATATCTCACTGCGAGTAGACCCGATATATCCTACTCAGTGGGTGTATGTGCAAGATTCCAATCTAAGCCAAAAGAAAGTCATCTACTTGCCGTCAAGAAGATTATCCGATATCTTAAAGGAACTATTAATGTTGGATTATGGTATCCTAAAGAAGGAAATTTTGAACTAACCGGTTTTTAAGATGCAGACTTTGCAGGGTGCAAAATTGATAGAAAAAGTACCTCAGGAACGTGCCAGTTCTTAGGGGGAAGGTTAGTTTCATGGTTTAGCAAGAAGCAAAACTCCATTGCAACAAGCACAGCCGAAGCCGAATATATCGTTGCAGGGAGTTGTTGCGCACAGATTCTATGGATGAAGCAACAATTAAAAGATTATGGAGTTAATTGCAATGAAGTTAGTATTTTCTGTGATAATACTAGCGCCATAGCAATTTCTCAAAACCCAGTACTTCATTCAAGAACAAAGCACATTGATGTCCGACACCATTTTATACGAGATCACGTTGAGAAGAAAGACATCAAAATCGATCACGTACCAATAGAAAATCAACTAGCAGATATTCTGACAAAGCCTTTGTGCGAATCACGATTTATCACTCTAAGACATAGTTGGGCATGATCGAAATGAGCTAAGTATCACGTTCTCTATCCTTAAGCTCAATTTGTTCAATTTAATTTTAGTTACTGTGTTTATTTTATTTGTTACGTACCTATATGTGTTAATTGCATAATTATTTGTGTTAATTGTGTTTTTGCATGCTATGTGATTTTGTGTTAATTAAAATGTAATTTTTTTTTTAAATTAAAACAAAAATTTCATGTCTTATAATCCTTAATTCTTAAGGTTATCTTTTGCATATTTTAATCAAGTTTGTACGTGTCTAATGTGTGATTTTACAAAAATTTTACCCTACTCACTAGCATAGCCATCTGTAAAGTCATAGAGTTTTTACCTGGCACATAAAAAATTTACCTTGGAAAAGGATTTGTCTTGTTTGTATAACACATCTACATAGTGTCAGAGAATGAAATTTATTGTGCATCTACCCCATTGAATTTCGTTGATCTAATCATTATCTCTTTATGACAAAATATTTTTGCATGTATCTTTTATGCATGTATCTAATTCATCTGAGATATCCTTGAGCTGAACATTCTCCATACTCAATAATTTAACCAAATTACCCTCAATTTTCAAACCCCACCAAGCTTATCATTAAGGGCATTTTCGTCCATCTAGCCCTAAATGTCTTATACGCCTCTTCCTCTTCCCAAATAAACCCAATTTCAAAACTCTTCTTCTCTCTCTTTTACGAGAACTCCATAGCCGAACTCCTAAAATCCTCTCATTCTCACTTCACTTTGATACCCACTCCAAAATAACTTCACAAATGGCATCCTCAAGTAGAAAATCATCCAAGAACACACAACCCACAGAGAAAGTCAACACGGTACATCTCCTCGACCCAACAGATTTCAAAGGTGTGTGTACAAATCTAGTTCTTGCTCAAGAGATTTTGGATGGATTGGAGAAATGTGGTCTACAAAAGGTTTGCATGTTTCGTTATATGGGTATTTTTGATGATGAAGCATTTGATTTTTTCAAGCATGCTAAAATGAAGAACAATGTGATTAAATCTTGTGTTAATCGGGTACGGGTATCTATTAGTCAAAATGATATTAGGGAGTTGTTTGATTTCTCTAAGAATGATATTACTCTAGATAATTATTATTTTGATCAGTTTGAGTTTTGGACAAAGGTTCGAATTAATGACAGTTTGAATGTACCAAAATTTTCTGGGAGGAAGTCTGAATTGTTCAAATGGGAATTTTGTAAACTTGTTGAAGTTCTTGCCAAGTGTGTATTGTGTAAATTAGGTGGATTTGATAAATCTACTTTACAAATAGCAAGTATGATGCATGCTGTGGTTCATGGAAAAAAGTTGGATTGGAGCAAGGTGATATTCAACCGATTGGTTACCATGGTGAATAAAGAAGACAAGCCTAGTTATGGTGTCATGATTGGTGAACTCTTAAGGAGGAAAGGCATCCAAATGAAAGATAGGAAGTCAATTCTTTCTAGCAAGTACTTATTTCGAGTTAATGTCAAAAGAGAAAGAATTGAGGAACATGAAATTGAAGAAGAACAAATGGATGATGACATTCCCTTAAGCCGTGTGTTTAGAAAGAAAAGAACACCAAGAGTTGAGATTAGAGACCAAGATGAGGCTGCTACTGTTGAGACAGTTGCTGCTGAGGAACAGGATGAGGTCTTGGATGCTTCCAACACCATCCAGGCAGATGAAGTTGAAGCAGTTCAAGAAGAAGAAGCAGGGGATGACCAGGGAGAAGACACAGGGGATGACCTTCTGGCTGATTTGGAAACTAATTTTGTGGCCGATTTAAACACTGATTTTGTGTGGCTGATGAACCAGTGTTACCAACTGATTTAGGGGCTGATCCAGAGGCCAAGGAAGGAGAATACCAAGAAGATGTTGAGATGAATGACCGAGCAAAGGAAGATGAAGTCCAAAAAGATGATGATGATCATATTGGTGTTGATATTTTGGAAGAAAATTCGAATGAAGATGAGGAAATCAACAAAAGTGGTGAAGAAAAAGGTTCTAATGTTGAGGTGATCAAGGCCTTGAAGGAACTAAAGGAGGCCATTGGAGCACGTGATGAAAATTCTTACCCAACAACTGTTGAGTTTTTGAATTCTTTTGTTGACAGGTTAACTATAGCCCTTGAGGAGGAAAGAAGTGCTCAAGTCAATCTTGAAAAGTCTCACCATGCCGAAAACATGATGCACAAAATTAGGCATGAGAAACTAATTTTCAAAGTGTGCATTGTAACACCCCAGATTTTCAAGACATTTAAAATTTATAATAAAGGTAGAATCTTATTAAATCCCAAGATATAAATACAAGCGTTCGGGGTGCTACGCCACACCTGAGCTAGAGAACCCAAGTGCACAGGCTAACTAACTAATATTCTCAAAGCGTAAATACGTAAACGTGGCACGCAGGCCAAAAGGGAAACTATCTACTTCTAAGTTCTAGCGCCCTCCAGTGACTTAATCTTCTGTGCCTGAAAGCCAAATATATCTGTTCAGCGAGAGATGCTGGTAACCCACTCCAACGCGTTGAAATACAATACATATAGAGATATATATAGATATACGAAAACCATTTTGAGCATGAAGATATGTCCTACGAACTCTAGCTTTAAAACCGGGAATGACTCGACAGCTAAGGCCAGACACAAGCAACAGTTATAACGAGCATATGCAGTTCACAATAGCTAAGGCAGATAAGGCAAAGCATAAACAATGATCATAACCCAACATGAACAATCCCCAATATAAATCCCATAGTCACATCCCCCAAGACACTCGTAATCACAACTCGTCCCTGTCACAACACATAACACACTTTGTTGGCGCCACAGGACCAATCGCATGCCCATACATGAGGGTTAGCGCATATAGCTCTGACACGGCCCCGCAGCACCCTGCCCCGTATCGCAACACGGAGGGGTCGATCGCAACCGACCGATGAACCGCAGCTCATCATAGTGTTTGATCGCAACCAAATAGTGGACCGCAGCCAGGAAAAAAGGACGAACGGCAGCTCGTATAGAAACGTTTGATCGCAACCAAACGGTGGACCGCAGCCCAAGAGTATCAATCTGACCGCAGCCAGCTTCTGAACCGCAGCTCAGGATAACCAATCCGATCGCAATCGAATTGGGGTAACACACACACATAACACATAGCAAGCACATGCAACCCACATTACACATTAGGAAGGGGGAGAAAACGTATAACAAAACCTATGCGTGATCCATCACATACTAAGAATAGTCCTAAGGGGTTCATACTTCTACCGCCTAGGTCAACGGGATACCAATTCAACTAGCATGCAATGTAATAGACTCGTAAACCTACGAACGGCACCCGAAATATCAAACTAGACATAGGCACGATGAACGGAGTCCGTTGGGACACCACGGGGATCGGGGAAACATCAAACGGGGAAGCCGGGATCCCGAGATGGGGGAATTTCCAGCAGGTAGCCGGTGGGTGGGGGGCCACCCGCCGGCTGCCCGCCGGAATTACTGTTCCGGGCAGCGGGTCGCCGGCGGGCAGCTGCCCGCCCGCCGGCTACCCGCTGCCGGGCGGTGTTTCACGGCCGTGGGTAGGTGGCGGGTCCCCTACCCCCCACTGACTCTTTTCACACACTTTACGCCCCGGGAACCATTGTGGAACCCGAAACCATGCTTAGACACTTTACTACGAAATTAACGACAACACATAGCCAATTAACGAATCAAATACAAGAAACGGACGACACATAACCTATCATGCTTTTCTAAATATAATCAACACCCAAACATGCGATTTCCCCACCCGATAACCCAAGAATAAGATCATACGATACAACCTAGGGTTCTAATCACTTTTAAATCAACAAGAATACGGTTCGTCTTCTAATTGCAAGATTCGGTAAGAATAACACATAAGCATCAAGAACATCACACAATTATCAGGAACAACACATAATCATCAAGAACTCCATATAATTATCAAGAACACCATAATTATCAAGAACACCATAATTATCAGGAATCTTCCAATATCAAGATCATCATGATCCCCCATGGGATCATCACATCAATTACCAATAATAATCATCATAACTCGCCAATATACAATAATATGGGGAAACCCTAAGGGGGAATTATAACTATGAAAATAGGTTTTGTTGAGACATGGGTTACCTCTTAGCCTTAATTAATTCCTTGGCTATGAAGGGTCTTTCTTTAAGCTTTCTTGCTTTCTTGATTTCTTCTACGGGGATTCTTGGAGCTCTTTTGGGGTGGTGGGGCGTTATTCTTGTGGGGAGGTTCTAGGTGCCTCTTAAGTCCCCTATTTATATATTTAGGAGTCCTAATTAGGAACTAATATTATAGGCTTGCTAATTCTATTCCTTTTGGAACTAAGGATTGGGTTTAGGGGTTGGGTTTATATATGAGGGCCCACGGGCTATGGTGGGCCTTTTTCCCTAATTAATCATTATAATTTATTCTTTCTCTTGGGCTATTGATTAATTAACTAATTGGTTTTAGGACTCGTAACACGGGGTGTTACACTCTCCCCCCCTTAACAGGAAGCTTCGT